ACCCCCCCCCCCCCTCCCTCCCCACCCTCAAATATTTTTTTCGTTTTAATTAATATATTTGATTTAAGTTTGATACAAAATATAAGAAAGTAAAGAAGACTTCTGAATCGTATAGTTTTAAACTAAAGATATGTAGAAAATATTAAAATGTTCGTTAATCACGTGATCTAAATCGTGTAAAAAGTTAAAACTAAAGAGTTGCAAAATAAAATAAACAAATTAAAACGGCCGGACGGAGTACTAAAACCCCATGTGTTTGTTTGTGTATTAGCTCTATAGGATCAATTAAAACCAATTTGAATATTTTGTTTCTGAGTGTTGCAATAATTTCTTGTCCCTACAGAAGGCTATGAAAACAGAGGTTGGACGGCTACAGGCTACTAGTGAGTTCTTTCGATTGTATATTTGCCACGAGATTTTAAAAAAAAACATTCACTCGTATTCGATATTTATATCAATTTAATAAATATAATATAAATTATTATTATTATTATTTAATTGTAATTATGGCACTTTCGCCTAATGCAATCTTGATAGCTAGTTCATGAGGATGGGTAAATTCATGAAACAGATTTTTTCAGTCTTTGTAATTGGAGTTTCAAATTCATCGATGAAATTCTAAGATATTTTCATGAAGTTACGTGTCTATGAAATTCAAACTTTCGTAAGTCATAACAATGACTATATTTTAAAGACGTACAAGAGCGATTCTAGTGTTCAGTGGCTGTTATTTTTATTTTTGAGAAATTGATTCTCAAAATCATATAAGAAGACCATAACTCATTTTCTCAATCAATATGAAACATAGCATTGCAGTCATCACACGTGCGAGATGCAACTCAAGCGCGAATTATGAAAATTCAACATTGAAAAATACAACAACAAAAAATAAGGATCAATATTAGATTCGACTCTATAACCTTTTGACCTAACTCAATTTTAGAAGATAACTCATAAAAGAAGGATCCAAAATAACTGTATAAAAGGACCACAACTCATTTCCCCAATTAATGTGGAACTTAATACTAACCATGGTACATAAACAACTATATTTGATCATAATTAAATGATAAATATCATATAATTATTTAATATAAACACTCGATACAAATAAATTAATATTCTTTACAATAATCCCCTATAGGACAAAAGGGACCTTACCTAAAAGGACAGAACATACATTGAACTTTCCTATTGGTCATAATTAATAGCTCCCCACCCCCCACCACCATACCCCACACCACCACTAAAATTAGACAAATAGTAATAGGCACATGCACACAGATTACAAAAGGAGGCCAATGAAGATTCAATTTGTCTCAAGTTTTGGACTGACCCCAATATTTTATGCTCATGTTTGACATATACATAAGTATATATACAAAAGTGTTTGGTTTGTGATGTTTTTTTAATCCGAATTCTGATATTCATATTGAAATTCGATTAAATTCAAATTCTCGCATATTGTAATATCTATTTTGTAAAGACGGCACTTTCAACAGATTTTTCACAACTCCTAAGACTCACATCGAAAATCTCTGATCAATGATGAAGAAATTTCAATCATCTTATCACAATTCATATTTACTGTGGATGTTATAAAGTTAATTAGTGGTTGACCATAGCCATGAAATTCAATAGTAATTTTTTGTGATTAAAAAATGAAGAAGAGAATATGCCAAAGGAGCTGACCAAGCAACCAACCATGTGATTTAGCTGAATTTACAAGTTGAGAATTTCAAGGACTCTGATTCATTTGGAGGCATTAATTAACTACAAAAAATTACTAACAAGTTGGTGTTTTTTTTATTTATTATTGTATAAAAAAGGTTAGGAGAAAATAGTGTGTGTGTGGGGGGGGGGGGGGGGGGG